GTGTGTGCGTGCGTGCGTGCGTGCGTGCGTGCGTGCGTGCGTGCGTGTGTGTGTGTGTTGACACCGCCTCTGTACTTTTGCCCTCTCGTAGGGTTTGTCTTATTGGTCACCAAGGTGAGAGTTTGCCATGAAAAAGAGAGGCGTCGAGTAGGCTGCGCAAACAAAAAAAAAAAAAGATGAGTAATGTCACTACAATCAAAGACATTATCAAGCTAACTTATACTTTAAAAAAAATGGCGTGTTGAATTGACTCCATTTTATTTCGTCTAATTTCACATTGACGGGTGAAAGTGAGGTTCCCAACTTTCATTGCATTTGCCCGCGTGCTTGAAATAAAAAATGGCCAACTTCCTGTTTGATTTCCCTCACGGGTCCCCCGAGCCTTTTGACTGCATCTTATTATGATCGACACGTCCATGGAATTTCACGGCCATCGTTGAAAGTGTGCTGATTTGCACAAAAGCGGCCCACATAACACGGAGACAGAGTCAAGCGATGAGATGTGATGTGAGGTGATGTGAGTGCTTTCGGAGGCCCCCGCTTGGGCCGCAGCGTGACACACGTAGTGTGGCGGTGACGTGTCGCCCCGCATCTGGATGAGCCGCTCGTCTAGGGGGGCGACTAAACCAGAGCCGAGTCGGACCCCTCCGCCGCCGACGTAGCGCTGGCCGAGCAGGTACAGCATTCGGCGGCGTCTCCGGGCGCCTCTCTCCTCGCCTCAGTTTATAACCCACGTAATCCCTTACGTTCAATGCCGCTCTCTGTCTCTCTCTCTCTCTCTCTCTCTCTCTCTCTCTCCTACCGCTCGCTCCGTCTTATTACTGCGCTCAGTTATAAAAAGATGACCCACTTGGGATTTTCCGACACATAAAACCTGGTCACGTATCCCGTCTGTGCTCCCTGGCTCCCCCACAACGTGTTCTCAAGCACTTGATGGAGATGCACACCATCTGAAGTGTTGACCCTTCTCCGATTTGCAGATTGTCGCCCGACGAATGAACGATCGCTATTGGTCAAAACCGACAAGGGCGCTGACAAACTCACTAGCTCAAATGATCAAAAACATAAGCAACCCAACTAACATAGTCATGTAGTCTCTGTAAAATGACTATTTCAAACTAAATAATAGGAGACGGTCAAAAGCCAAACAACTCACCGACTGACTTTTCAACCAACTAACCAGTAAACCAACAAATCCAACGAAAGTCTGATTAAAACATCAACCACGGAAGTCATGGAGACCTGCCTTCCAACCCTAATTTGAACCCCTGCCCTGAAACCCTGACCCAGACTGGCAACCTTATTCTGAAACCCCAAGCCCAGGGAATCGTCTTGTTTTGTTATTTCCACGTAAAAAACCAAAAATCTCCTTCGAAACAAAAGCAACCTTTGAGGTCCTGGAAGCAAGAAAAATTTTAAAAAGAATCATCGAATGCATGCTTTGAGGTCCTGGCAGCTTGCCGCCTTGCCAGATGTGAGCTCCGGTCTCCTTCTTGTCGAAGGTGACACATTTTCTCCGTCCGAGTGTTTATTTCCACTCAGGGCGTTGGCGTGCGCAGCCGGTCGGCCTCCGGCGAAGCCGCCGGCCCGTCAGCTGTCCGCAAGGAGCGTATCGGCGACTTGAAAGTCAATTAAAGCCGCCTCCGCCTCACATTCCGCCACTCCCGGAACATCTGCGGCCCCGAGTCAGGCCGCCTCGGCTTGAGCCGGCCGCCGACTGGTTCCGGGAAAAGGATGCCGCCGCGCCGCATCAATTCCAGGCCGCCGGGCCCGACGGGATGTTTGGGAGGTTCCGGGTCCCTTGGCTTGAAGCCCTAATCCTTGGTCCGATTTTAACCGTGGTTTAAAACCCTCATGGGAAATCCAAACTCTTGTGGGAAATATCGTTAAACCTGGCTTGAAAGACCAACCCAAGTTTGGAACCCTGATTTGAATCGTCAAATCTGAAACCGCAAACGTTGTTTGAAGATAACATCAAACCGGACCTCGAAATGCTACTTTGACAAAATCTAATGCTTGATGAAACTTGAATCAAACTTAGAAACCCTAATTTGATACCTAAATCGTTTTTTGAAACGCTAAGCCTCGTTTGAAATCCTAATTTGAAACAGTAAGTCTATTTTGAAACCCTATTTCTTGTTTGGAACCCTATCCTTGGCTTGGAGTCCTTTGGCTGAAAACCTTACTTGAAAATCCTAAGACTGACTTGGAGACCCTTGTTGGAAAATCTCAGACAATCTGATTATTTGGAATTCTTATCCCTAAAACTGCCCTTGCAACCCTAAAACTCGTTTGAAGCTTAAACTCTCGACTTTGAAAGGCTCCCCCCCCTTGTGAAAGAGCGCATGTCAAAAACAGCCCAAATGTGTGCGAGGGCCGTACCAGCTGATCTCCGAGGCAATGATGTCACTGTGCCGCCTTCTCCTTCTTGACGGCGGCTCGTGATCGTCGCCTTGGCCGGTAAACGGGAGATTTCGAAGGCAAACGTCAACATCTGTCGGCGACATCTGGAAGCCACGCTGCCTGACGAGGGCCCCGAGACCCAAGCGTTTAGCCGCCGGGATGCTAATTCTCCCGCGGCTCATCGGCGCCGCGACAAACACCTTCAGTGTCACACTCACGCGCGCTCAGACACACACATCAATATTAACACCGCGGCTTAGTGTGGATTGAAGCCATCTGTCATCCATTTCGAAAGCAAAGGCGAGCTCAATATTGAGACGCGTCGGCCATTGCGGAGGAAGACATCAAAGGTGTTTTTCATGTTGGACCGTGGACCCCTCTCCTTGCCCCCCCCCCCCCAATCAGGCTATTTGATTTTTTTTTTTTTGTTTTCTGTTTGTTTAGTTTCCCCACAAATACCTTGATATCGCTTCATTAGCGCAGCGTGTAGCAGTAACAGTGATATCAATTTTTTTTAGCCTCCTGCTCATAGCTGCGAGTGGTGCCATTAGCGACGCTGCTCCTCGCCAAAACGTGGCCGATATCACAAATGAACTAAGCAAAAAAAAAAAAAAAAAAAAGGAGCAAACTGGTTCAGACGTCAACGGACAAAAGGAGCGCCTAATAACTAACAGGCAAGGAGGTGTGAGTTTCAAACTACTAAAACGGACGGACTTAATCACAAATTAATTGTGGTTGAAAAAGTTGCTAAAGAGCAAGTGAACTAAGTGGTTGGCATGTGCTGACTAACAACCTTGGTTAAAGAAATTTGACCGAACAAAGCGTCAACGGGCAAACTCACACAACAGCTATTGATGTTTCGATATCTGACAAAATAATAAGTGACAACAGAAACCGCCACTGAGCCTTGGTCAAAACGAACATGTCAACTAGCTAACTAGCTAACTGTATCAAGTACAACTTTATTGTCAGATGTGCTAACATACAGCACAGATGAAATTTCCTCCCTCTTCAACAGACAACAGGCAACAAGAGGAGCCGCTGCGGGTGCCCGCGCCGCCTCTTTGGAATGTGAACCATAAAAACCGCTATAGGCTAAAATGAAAAATCAAGAATTTAGTGAAGACACCTAACCACCTAATATTGACATTTTATTCATTCGTTCATTGAAAAAAAAAATTGTACCAGTTTGTACTCATTTATCTGTGATTGCTAATAACAAGATTAAACATTTTACGAAAACTGATGAACAAAACAGTAACTAGAATAGTTTTGCATTTTAAAATATTTCATGAATGGATGACAGATGGCGCTTTATACGGAACACAGAACATCAACGATGGACCATCATAATAAATGACACCATTTGAATGAACTGTTGCCATTTTGCTCATTCCTGCGCAATTTAGTTGTTTGAAATGCGCCGCTGTCATTTTCCATCCGAGCGCTGCCTGCGCTTCTTTCCAAGCGCCGTATGTACGCCGTCGACCTCGGAAGGCTGTTGTTTGTGGTCTTGTGCTTACAGGCGCCATTCTTACCCTGCCCGGTCGCGCACGCGCCCGCTCTCGTGATGCCTGCCAAGCATTATTCCAAAAGAGATAACACGTACAGCGGGATTTCCATGCAAAAGTGACGGCAAAATCCTATTTTCCCCAAGCGCCTCAGAGGAAGAGCCAGCAGATGATTAGGCCCCACTAGGAATCTCATCAAGTACAATGGCTCCGATACTTGAGCTAGTAACAATGACGACCAATTACACGGTACTTAAGGAGAGCCGAGCGCCCTCTACAGGCGAAAAGTGGAGTGATGTTTGTGGCGCTCGCCCCCTTTTGCACAGAGACCCCGCAAAAAGCTGCCCAAA